ATGCGTTAAGAAAAATAGAGCAGCACTTAATCAGAAGTTATGTGCAATTGATCTGAAGATAGCATTATATAGTTTAGAAAGGATATGGCATCGAGGTGGGGAACAAAAGTGTGAAAATCCCCAATGATGGAGCAGAACTCGATAGTGAAGCATTACCTAGTCATCGAACATCAGTTTCTTATGCCAACAAGATCTCAACTAAATTGCAAGCTCAATAAACAAAAGAATCAATATCCTCTCTTGTTCTTTACACTATACAAAGACCATTTCGTTTGACCTAACCCATCCATCCTGCCCAAGTTTTTCAAGTCTAAGCCATTGGGGGGAGTTCCTTTAGTTGGTTTGCTCAGTGTTTCACAACCACTATTTTCGCAAATTTGCATTTGAACTGTAATGGTTGAAAGAACGAGATCTAGCGATGCTTACCTTGTCCACAGCATGGTGGAGAGAGTTCTGGTGGCATCGGAAAGGAGAGCGTGTCTGTTAGGTAGCCTCCTAGTCCTTGCTCACGAGGAAAAGCAGATAAATCAACCATAGGAGATGGTGGAATATCATTCCCGTTGTGTTTCAAAGCCCTAGAATAACAGGTAATCAAGCATGCATATCACACATTTTATCCTATAAATGATGGACCTCAAGCATGATTTCAAGATAGAGTGAATTCACATTGAAAACCTAAAAACGGGCTAGTGCAATTTACGGATACTAAAAAAAGTAGGAATGTCCACTCTTACGTGAGTGAAAATGTCACCAAATGGATGACTCCCAGAGAAGTCATCTGGGCCACCACCTGACGCTTGGCGCTCAGAAAATCCAGTAGAACAATCGATCGCAAATCGAAAATGACAAATCACATATTCACTATTTATGTCAGTAGTAAGGAAGGCACCATTTGGCATTGAGACAGATTATCATAGTCCTGTTTGGTGCAACTGCTTTTAAATATTATTTTGTTGTTTGGATAACTGTTTCCCTTAGTTTGATTTATAAAACAAACTACCAGGAAGATAGATCTATATCTCTACGGAAACTTAAAAAGCACATGCACAGTCACAGAAAATAGTTAATAACCTGGTCGTATGTTTCACGCTTATCTTCATGCTTCAAAACCTGAGATAAGCATGACAAAACACACCCTTTAGAATAAGAATGTCCAATGGTTAATGTAGGACAAGCTAAGATGGTGCCCAAACAAAGAAACCAAAAACATGTTCAATGTAGGACAAACTAAAAATACTCTGTTACTTCCTTGTTTCAGGCTTCCATTTTAATTTATGAGTTTCCAGATGGATGTTACATGCAGCTTGCACTCATGCGGTTAGGTCTGCCTAGCGATGGAACTCCGCCCACCAGATCTATGCTGAGATGACAGCGAGGAAAGAAGCCGCTGAGGCGCTGACATGGCCCATTCTCCTCCCGCATACGGCCCCTGGTCATGGGCGTGGACCGTGGGGAAGGGATCCCGAAGACGAAGATAGGAGCGTGGAATGTTGGAGGTGAGGAAATATTGCAAAATTAGCATGCAAAAAACATCTTAATGGACTGAATAATATGCACATAAATAAACCGATGAAAAAAACTCACATGATCTTGTTAACGATGTTGGTGTGATGCCCCCAATATTGTTATCCATATCTTAATTTAGTGTTAGCCAGCTGAACAATCCTAACAGCATGCTTCACATCGAGAGTTAAAACTTGTTTCTGTAAATCAGAAGAAAAATTCAAAAGTAAACTAATGAGAGTGAAAATAAATTATTCTGAACTTAACTCTGAAAACAGCTTAGAAAAGCTGATGATATTCGCAACATCATGTTCCTTTTGAATAAAAAGTATGAACTCCAAGCAGCTATTATATCTGTTTATTCCATCGATTAAAGATACTTTCCATTAGGAAAAAGATATATTAGCTGCACATTTCGTAGAACACATGAATGCTTGCAGGTATATATTAGCTGCACATTTCGTAGAACTCATGAATGCTTGGAGGTACTCTCCATGCATTGGTTATGTATATGTGTGTTTCTGGTGATAACCTAAATTAGTTACAGATTACACCTTCAGCCAACATTTAGCTTGTACAAGTCCAACTCAAGATCAACTTCTATATTGAGGCATAAATAAGGAACTCTCAATTTATTGAGGATAAATTATGAATACACTGTGAGAGGTCTTTCTTGAAAGGAAGATTACTATGATCTCATTAAGAACAACAATAGTAGTGCGGCATACACATTTTTTCTCAAGTTTCTAGTTTGCATGAAATAAATATCAGTTATCAATGTTGATAATTCGAAACCACAAACAAAACTATATACTTATTAAGCCGTAAGGCTGCACTATCAGGTCACTTATTGCTATTTTTTGGGTTTTTAAAAAAAAATCATCATACACATGGAGGGTCTATATCCTTATAACTATGTGAATTTGGAATGTGAGTCTTATCCTACAAATTATTGGAAGCATACACTAATAAACCATTTTATTTGCACTGTGCCTCAACTCTGTAGCCAAGTTAAACACAGAAGTATTTAATACAGTAATGACCTTTTCAATTCAGAGCTTTGAGGCAACCTTCTGCCACGGCGGGGTGATCGGTTGCTGCTCGGCGCGGGGTCGTGTCGTCGGGGGCCAGCTCCCATGATCCAGTGGCGACTGCAGAGGGCGAGGAGGGAGGAGAGGCAGTGTGGGGTCGCGTTGTTGGGGGCCAGCTGCCGCGATCCGGTGGTGGGCGAGGAGGGAGGGAGGCGCAGGCGGAGATGGGGGTGGGGGCACGGTCGGAGAGGGGCGGCAGCGGGGTGACCGTCTGCTGCTCGGCGCAGGGTCGCGTCGTCGGGTGCTAGCTCCCGCAATCCGGCGGTGGTTGCGGATGGCGAGGAGTGAGGGGAGGCAGACGCGTCGTCGGGGGCCGGTGTCGCGATCCGGTGGTACACGAGGAGGGAGGGAGGCGTCGGCGGCGCTGGGGTCGCGGGCGGAGGGGCGGCGCAAGGGGTGGGTGCGCGGGCGCGATTGCGCTGGGGAATCGGGAGCGAGCGGGGGCAGCGGCGAAGGGAGCGGGGAGAGCAGTTGGGAAGAGGGGCGCGATAGAGGGAGCCGAAAGGGGAGAGGGCGCGCGTCTGAAGCGTTGATTTTGCAGGAGGATCCTAGAAGCAATCTTAGCCCTTGAATTATCCAGGACTCACCACCACCACTAGAGAATTTTTAAGTAGTAGAGATATGTCTCCACCACTTCTTAGTTTCCTTTCTGCCAACCCATCCTGACCCACCACTTCTCAGTCGGCCCGCCACTATTGCGTCCACCTCGTCGATGAAGACGATGGCTGTGTCCTGTCCCTGGCGAGCCGGAACTAGCCAGTCAGGCACCATACTCGGCCCATTGTACCATGCAAGCCTGGTGCTGTTCATGCCGAAGAATGCCTACCGAGGTCTCGCACACGATGACCTTGGCCCGCATGCTCTTCCCGGCGCCTGGTGGTCCATGCAGGAGCACTGGGTGTGTCAGCGGCAGCTTGACGCCCTCCCGGAGCTCCTGCTTCTGCGCCTCGCAACCATTGATGTCGTCGTACATGACGCCCGGCTTGTCGGTGTCCGCCATGATCGGAACCGTGGTGCCGAGCAGCCGGCGATGTCGGAGGGAACCACGCCGACGAGTGCGAGCGATAGACGGTGCAGCTTGACATTCACCGAGGGCTTGAGGAGGTCGTGGTGGAGAGAAATGGGAAAAAAAGAGAAGACGATGAATCTGACAGGTGGGCCCACGTGCAGATGAGGAAGAAGACTGAAAACATGACGTCGATAGTATGGTTCCCATTTTGTAAAATTTAAGTGGCACGGTTACGAATAAATGAATTATAATGATATTTATCTGAATAGACACATTTGTAATGACACGGATCAAATTAACCCTTTTCAGTTTGAGCTAGAGACTCAAGTCTTTTTTTCTCAAAAATTATGTGTATTATTCCATGTAGGTCCTTTTTCCACATGAGTTTTGTTGTGCGTCCTCTGTTTTGCCTATACAAATTAGGCATTACTTTTGCACTTTTTAAAACCGAGACTTTTAAGCACATATAGGGGCCAGTTTTAGACAAAAACTGGTACATATAGTATTAGTATTTTTTTAAAAATAATACCTATAATATATTATAGCTGGTGTTTTTTTTAAAAAAAATAACCAACATATGTACCACTACGAGCCAAGCTTGCCACGTGGGGAGCAAAAAAAAAATGTTGTGTTGTGTGCGAGCCAAATATCTCAGCTTCTCCCTCACCTAATTCGCTCCCTCTCTATAGGTCTCCCTCTCCCTCTCCCGATCCCCACTTTTCCAGCTCTCCCTCTCCACCGATGCCTCTCATTGGCAGCCAACGGTTCGCCTTGGCCCCCTCCCTGGTGCAAGGCGGCCAGTGGCCCATCTCTCCCCAGCCCCCTAATTTAGATTTGGGGATTTTAATTTGGATTTGGGACAGCGAGGAGCAATTCGATCCATCGGTTTGATTCGAGCCGATTTTTTTTTACCTCGCGTGCATCACAAAGGTGTCGATGGTGGAACTGACATTAATGACTTGGAGTCATCTGTTCCACCTCTGTGGTGCCGGTTGGGAAATCCGGCACCTACGAAGGTGTCCCAACCATCACCGATGGCACTTTCTGTGGTAGTAGTGTGGCTATTTGGGAAATCATGATGTTATATCATGCAAGTATTTACAATTTACATGGTGAACACGCATTGAAATGCGTTCACCCCAGTTCATTCATCAGTCGGGAGAAAATAACTTCAAGCATTCATGCATGTAGAAAATAACTGCCATATACTCGAGACATATCTACATCAGTATGCACCTTTCACTTTACATAGCTAGGCTTAGTGCTTTTTTAGCATTTTTCATTGTTTTTTATTAGAAAACAGTTTCGAATATGCGTAATTTACTAGTCTTAGGAAGCATCGGGAATATAAGGTCAACGATCATCGTCCTCATGATAGAAATTATGGTAGACACGTGTAAAAAAATATACATGTCGGAACATGAGAGTTTGGTTGTTCTGTGGGACAGGACACATCAGCACCTTATGTTTAGATTCTTGACTTACACCTGCCGGTGGAATATTGGTGGTACCTTCCACCATGGTGCATCAAGATGCAAGATGTGGACAAATATGGCATTTGCATAGTTTGCTTAAGAACCAGAGGCAGATTTAAAAGTCACTAGGAATATGGTAGATGTGCTTCCTTTATTAGTCCTTCCTTGAATACTAGCTTTACTTTGTGGTTTCTTCTCTTTTCTTCGACCATCACATTTGTTTCTCTATGACATGATTAGTAAGCATCAGGAACGAAAGGTCAACCTTCTCAGTGAACGCTCGATATCAATCATTGCACACATATTGGAGATGACCAGGATTTCCTTAGGTGAATTCTGGCAAGGAGGAATGATCACACACATAACCCCAGCTTCAACCGATGGAAGAAGACCCGAAACACAACCAATGTAAATACTAATGTAAATCAACCGTGTGTACATTTAATCATACTACTAGAATACTAACACTACGTGCAGGGGTTGAGGCAAGATTTCACCGAGAGTAGGACCAAGCTATGCTGTTTCAAAATTTTCACCGAGTTTCTATCTAAATTTTGGTATATATTTTGCCATTGAAATTCTTTGTCACGTGTGGGGCCCAAGCCCAAGCTGCCTCACACGTGGCTTCGTCCCTGACTACTTAGTGGAATGTACTGTAAAAGCTCCCACAATCCTTAAAACAAGAGATAATACCTTCTAATAGCTTAGAGCTTCAGTGTACAACTCGAGGTTGGGCTGTGGCGGTGCAGTTGGGCTAGTAGCAAAGCAAGGTCGAGGGTTGGGTGAAGCATCGCTCGCACAAACGCATCTAGCTAGCTACCGTTCCGACACCACTTGTGGAAGGAGCTCATGTGCATAGGGATCCCACATGCATGCCTTTCACTTTTTCTGTGATATTTTCATTCCCGAGTAAGATGTGTTCGCTCTTCAAGCTCACGCCACGCATTTTTGGCCCAACTAATTAAGCAGCGTATTGCCCCCAAAAAACTGGATTGTTCTCCTGTCTAAACCTGCGTTGAATCAATATACCAAAATGAGTAGGGCACTACGTTCGCTTGCTAGATGGTGCAAAGACAGAATCGAAGGTGAAATTGTTAAGAAAAAATGGAGAGAGATGAGTAGAAATAACCACCGAGAGAAAGTCTTCCTAAAAGCTGGTAACAAATACTTCCTCTGTTTTAACATTTGAGCAAATTTATAGAAAAATATAATAAAATTTGCAACACAAAACACACATTGTCACTTATATGGGCCTGGGGGTACCTGGCTAGGGAAAAGGGAAGCCCTTCCTGTGCGACGCGCCCAGCAGGCCCAACGCCCCTCGGAGGAACGCGCGTTCGGCCACGAAGCGGCCGCCCTCCCCCCCCCCCCCCCCCCGCGGGGGGCTTGGGGTACCTTGTCATACCCCTCGGGCCCGAGGGGCTGAACCGCCCCCAAGGCCCTCGCTCGGCCGCCACGTGGCAGCCATGTGGGGACTTGAGCGGGCGAGAGCGCCGTCCACCAGGCGCATTTATGGGCAGCGCTCCAACCGCCCCAGTCGCATTTAATGCAACGTGGCAGGTCGTGCGCCGCCCACTGATGGACGTGCGCCGGGCGACCACTTTTTGACTGGTCCGTGACCCGGCGATGGATGGATGGGACAGGCGGCAGCACACCCACGTCCCACTTCATGTCAGACGGCGTGGGGGCCGGTATGTCCCGTCCCATCATGTGCAGGGAAAGGACGTGCAGGTCGCCACCTCCCACGCGTGTGTGCCCACGAAGTCGCCAAGCATTTAATAGGGAATGACGGGGGACGTCCCCCGTGTCAGGCGAAAGACTTCGGTGGGGGCCACCCAAAGGTAGCATGGATCGCTTCCAGCCCAAGGCATGGGACGCTTTTTTGTATAGGCAGTGTGGGCCCCTCTTTTAAGAGGAGAGCGTAGGGGCAGTGTATATGGTATCCCCTTTATCTATAAAAGGAGGATCTCGCCCTGCGAGCAAGGGGACGACTCCTGGTAGACTAGATTTTGGTTAGAAGCTGTCCAAGCCCTAATTTGTACGCCCAGGATCCGAACTCTCTGTAACCACGCGAAGATCATTACACACACAAAAGTAGGGTATTATGCTCCATAGCGGCCTAAACCTGTATAATCTCCCTCTCTCATTTCCTCGCCATCCACCTCGCAAGCCTAATCCCCGCGGATCCGCCTCGCTTTCGCGAGGATACGTCCCTAAGCATTGTGCCTGGTCCCCTAGCCGAACTCACAAAGGGGGGCCTCACAATCTCCCGCTAGACAGTATCACCCTCTGACACACATGTTATCAAAATACATTCACTGTTCAATTTAATAAAACTAATTTGGTGTGTGTATGTTGCTATTTTTTTTTTATAAACCTTGTCAAACCTAAAGATGTTTCAACAAAAAAAAGGTAAAAACGACTTGTAATATGAAACTGAGAAAGTAACAACAACATTATCCATTAAAAAATGTATTGAATGTGAGTATCAATTATGAGGAGATTACTATGGGGTTAAATACACTAGGATTCAATTTGTGAAACTCAATAGGAGGCTGCGATAGTTAAACTAGGTGAAACCCCGCCCATTGCTATGGGAGTTTACTATGATAATAATAAATAGAAATAATGTGTAAGATAGCTAGACGACAGAAACTTGCATATAGTGATGTGGTTTATGATAATTTAAATAATATAGAATGATGATCCAAATGTAAAAGTAATATCATGTGACTTTATGATAGAAGAAAATGAGGGAGAATATAATTCCGACCATAGATTAATCATTTGATGGCTAAAAACAATTTGAGGTGATATGGCTTAATGAGAGAAGAGAGAAATAACATTGACTAAGTGAGGATGAATTGTATAGGTATATAGATATTAAACAAAATGATGGAGAGATATATTGAAATATTTTGAGAATTATTTGGAATGATGATTTGACATGCTTGGATTTTAAAAGCTCTAAAATTTAAGTGAGGGTGAACTGTATAGGCATATAGAATATTATAAAAAGTGATGGAGAGATATATTGAAATATTATGTGAATTATGCGTAATGATAATTCAATTAACATGCTTGCAATTTAAAGCTCTAAAACTTAATAAATTAGCATGCTTGCATGAGGTTTGAGATGCAATAATTGTTAATGGATGATGTGGCATCTTTGCATGTTGAAGTTTAGGATTTAGTGTACCTTAACATTATAGAAAGATAGGATATGTGAACCAGCATGTACGTAAACATGGACATGATAGAAATGTCACTGGTGCATACTGCCTCAAATTAGATTTTCGCGAGATTCACATATTTATCTCTATATGCATCCATGTTTTATGCTTATGTGTAAGTTAAATTTATGCCCCATCCATGTAATCCTAAAAATAATTATATATGTGCCTATGCAAATGGCATTACGTACGGGGATTCCCATTAGCTAGAAAAATGTAAATGGGATGGCAATAATCATAGAAACCATTTACTATATTTCCTTTGTTTCCACCTACATATATAAAGTCATCATCTTGACTGTACTCATCTCCTCACAGTGGTTACATATAGTCATCTTATTGGGCGCCCTTCTCTATATCGTATGGATTGATGTTCCATCCACCAGCCAGTATTGTTTCTTAGGTGCATAAAGCCTAGCAAGTAGGTTTAGGAGGCGATGGGAACTTACGATTCGGTTCGTGAGGCAAATGGAGTACTTTTGCACCTTATGTTCAGATTGTAGACTATTGGTATATTGGTACCTTCCTCCATAGTGCATCAAGATGTGTACAAGTATGGCATTTGCATTTCGAGCATAGGAGCAAAAGCTAGGCAAGATGATAGCTGGATAGGAAAATGGGTCTGGAGTGGATATCTTAATCAAGGGCTATGGTTACATATCGTTTAACGCGGAACAATATTATGTTGCTTTACGGAGCATTATGTGCATGCTATTATTTTTTAGATAACCGCATGTTATTAAATTGTGTGACTGTGTACATTTTGTTTTGAGCCTGAACTATCCCATCTTCAGTACATTCATCTGACAAAAAAAAAAGAAAAGAGGAGCGGATCGGACAATAAATTTATCCAGCACTAGTATTACAGAAAACTAGAAGAAAACATATTACAATACAACATGCAAAGCACTAGGAACCATTTTGGGAGTATAAGATTTACTCTGTGCGCACCACTATACACATGCAGTGTCCTGCGCAAAACCTTGTTCCTCTTCTACCGGTGTTCAGTAATCAGTAGGCTTGTTTAAGTTGTTTATTTGCTTAGTACTGTACACCCTATTTTTTATGTGATACGTGGTAAGTTTAGATAGTATTCAGAATACATGGAAGACTTAAATCTCAGTGCAGAGAATCAGGTGCATGTGCACAGTCTTTAAAAGAAAGTGTGAGTTTCATAAAACCTATTAGGCTGTGCTCGGGAGGTGAGGTTGGGAACTCACCTCTCGCGCACGCAAAATAGAGTGACGTATTTTCTTGTGATTAATTAAGTACTTTTTTGAAAAATAGATTAATATGGTTTTTTATAAAACAACATTCGTATAGAATTTTTTTTTGAAAAAAAACGTATCGTTTAGTAGTTTGAAAAGCGTACGCACGGAAAACGAGGGAAGTGATCTAGATTGAAAAGTTGGGGAAAGAACTCAGTCTCAGTCCTTTTATGAAGTATGAACGCTAGCTCACTTTGTAGTTTCTTCTTCCTTGGATCATCAGATTTCTTTAATTTTATGGGGTATCCGCTCTGTCAGAGAAAATGGAAGGAGAAACTAATGAGCAGAAATAACAAGGAAAAGATAGCCTATGTAAAGCCTGGCAACAAGCACTACTAAAAAAAGGGGCATAGGTGCCGGTTGGAAACCGGCTATAAGTGCCGGTTTCCCAACCGACACCTATTAGTCGGCACTAATAATAAAAACTGGCACCTATGACAATCATTAAACCGGCACCTTTAGCATTGCTCGAACCAAAAAAAAAACAGAGAGCCGGCTCGAATGGAGCCGACCTCACTGAGCACCATCGCCATGCGCCCAAATCAAATTAAAATCCTCAAGTCACCCACAAATCTCCACCAAAATTGATTGACATCACAAACATACTCCAATAAAATCATTCACAAATCCACCAAAACATCTAAAAAAATCTTGTGCCGGCGGCCCAAGGCTTATCTACTTCGTCTGTTTCATCGCCGGCGGGCCATGTTGTGCCTCCCCTCCCGCCGGATCGGGCGGAGGGGAGCGCGCCGCTGCCCGCCGTCGCCCGCCGCCTACCCTCCCGCCGGATCGGGCGGAGGGGAGCGCGCCGCTGCCCGCCGCCTCCCCTCCCGCCGGATCGGACGGAGGGGAGCGCGCCACTGCCCGCCGTTGCCCGCCGCCTCCCCTCCCGCCGGATCCGGCGGAGGGGAGGGCGCCGTCGCCTCCCATCTCGCCGCCGCTGACGCCTCTGCCAGGACGCTGCCCCACCGCTGTCGCGCGCTACAGAGAGGCGAGAGAGAGAGAGAGGCGAGAAAGAACGAGAGGGATCGAGAGGCGAGGCGATAAGGATGAGACGTCTGAGGCTATAAGGATGAGGCTGATGCGTCGGCCTGATCGGCTCGGCTCGGTATGGATAGATGTCGGTTTTTTAAAAAATCCGGTACCTATAATTTATTATTAGTATCGGTTTTAAAGAAGAACCGACACCTATAGTATAGGTGCTGGTTTTTCTTTAGAAACCGACACCTATATTGCATTAAAGGTATCGGTTTTTTTAAAAAACCAGCACCTATACTATAGGTGTCGGTTCTTCTTTAGAACCGGCACCTATAGTTGTTTAAAGGTGTCGGTTTTACTTGTTTTGACTCTACGGAGGAGGGAAAAGCATTATAGGTGCCAGTTTAGCTGTTCCGGCACCTATAGTGCCGATCTCTATGAGGTTTTTTTTTTACTAGTGAAGAGCATTATCCATAAAAAAAAATCTGTATTGAGTAGTTCAAAATAAACTTTTATTCCAATGATTACATGGCTATGGGGTTAAACACACCGGGCTTCAATTTGTGAAACTCAATCAGTAGAGGACATGGTTAAATATGTGAATTATACTTGATTCCAATACTTGAAGTGCCAATGTCACTGGTGCGTACTGATTCAAACTGGATTTTTCTGAGATTCACATATTTATCTATGGCATCCAAGTTTTATTTATGTCTTAC